TGTTTTCATAGTGATGCACCTGAGCACTTTGCTTTATATGTTTGCAATAAAAATATATTAAAGCAAATTATTTTGCAAATTTATTATTCTAATTTTTATTTAGAAAGACTAAGATTAAAAAAGACGTATGAATTTTTTCAGATATTTCTATTGAAAAAAACGCATCAGATAAAACTGACTTTCCTGTACATTTTAATGTGCCAAAAGATTTGCTCTTTATTCCACTTACTGCAATAATGTACACTAAAAATGACAGATCTATATTAAAAATGATAGATCTATATTTAGTAGTTGGAAAGAAAGAGAGAAGAAAAGTGCATCTAGAGAATTTAAAAGAATAAAAAACAAATCTAAAAATAATAATACATAAAGATTCATATTATGTATTTTTTTCATGAGGAATGTGAGGCGCACATTTATGCATTTATTTATTTAGATGAGATTTACTTTAGAGCACATTCAGTATTCAACTTTAATTTTATTTTCTCTTTCTTATGATATATAATTATAACATAATTACTTGCAAATGCTATCATTTTTGTGTACTTACAGTGATACAGAAACAACATTACGAGTACTATATTTACAGATAACATCTGTATAATAAAAAAAGCACCAGTCTAATGGTGAAAAAAGGGTAAATATTGTAGACCAGCATAAGTATCAACCAATTATTTCACCGCTCTGTTTCATTAGAGTTGCAATTTTCTTTTATAATATCATAAATATTATAAATAAGATAGAGATTTCCATACGTTTCAAATAAATTTATATATTTTATGTATGTAATACTGCGCACACATATTAAAAGGTGATAATATCGCAGTTATAATAAGATACAATCCTGGCAATGTAGCGATTTTTGGATTCTGAAAATAATTTAATTTGATTTATTTTTGAGAAATGCGCACAATACTTTAGAACAAATTATTTTTGTGCCACGTATTACCTGTGTAAAATTCCACAAACAGTATCACAAACAGTATCACAAGCAGTATCATTGTCTGCGATATATGAAAAGCTTCATCGATGAAATAAATGGTTGAATATGATTGAGATATAAGAAAAGTAATATAGTACTTGTAATGAATAACGTTAACGTGGAATACATAAATATTTTATATTTTAATTTCATATAATCGAGATGAGATAAGACACTCATGATTACTTTAAAAATGTGTCCACAAATATCATGTAACTTCAATAGCTGCACATTCGTCAAATTAATCCTGTTACTTTAAATGAATCACAGCAGCTTGTTTTAATTTAATTTAATCTAACCTAACCAATATTATATGCTTCTCATTAAAATGTGTAAAACTGTACGTCGCACATTTAATACGATTAATATACTACATAATAAAATGTAATACATTAATGAAATAATTAAATATTATTTTTAAAAGCATGATACAATCCAGGCAGCATACGCTTGTGTTTACATTCGACATCCAAAGACAGTGGTTAGGTTAGGTTAGATTAGATCAAACAAATTTATCGTTTAACAGTTGGCAGCCCTACAAGATAGGCTGTGCAGCACTGCGCGTATATAAAATAAATTTGAAATCGCTTCTAGCCTAACCATCTTCACGCGATCGACTTTATTTGAATTGCACGGCATCGCATCGAATTATGATGCGGCGCCGATTTGTTCGAACGTAATTCGGGACATCGCGATGCTGTATAAGCGTCGAATGAGCACGAATTGTCACGCAAATATGATAAATCACATCTACTCACCGTTCACCGGCTGTTCCACAGGCCGCTCCTCCTCGGGACAGTTCGCTCGCCTCGGGACGTCCCATTCCGATCTTGATGCACACGATATCATCAATGCGAACGCGCGATACTTTATTCGGCACTCCCGATATTCGCTCGCATCCGATAATCATCATCAAGGGCGCAAATAACGCGACGCGACTTCGCTCCATCTTCGCGATCGCGCTATCACTGAACTGTGAAAAATAGCTGTCGCGCACTTTCACCGACATATTATGAAAGTCGCGCGATCATCCTTGGACACTTTCGACGCTCTTTCACTCGCGATATTCGTTTAAAAACGGTTAAAAGACGCGAAAAATGCGGACGTACGACGATCCGTGTAACTGCGTATGACTCCGATTCACGTATGACGCGTATGACGTAGCGATCACGCGCTAACATGGCGGCCGAACCAGTGCGCATTCGTTTCTGCGCACTGGTTCGGCCGCCATGTTAGCGCGTGATCGCTACGTCATACGCGTCATACGTGAATCGGAGTCATACGCAGTTACACGGATCGTCGTACGTCCGCATTTTTCGCGTCTTTTAACCGTTTTTAAACGAATATCGCGAGTGAAAGAGCGTCGAAAGTGTCCAAGGATGATCGCGCGACTTTCATAATATGTCGGTGAAAGTGCGCGACAGCTATTTTTCACAGTTCAGTGATAGCGCGATCGCGAAGATGGAGCGAAGTCGCGTCGCGTTATTTGCGCCCTTGATGATGATTATCGGATGCGAGCGAATATCGGGAGTGCCGAATAAAGTGTCGCGCGTTCGCATTGATGATATCGTGTGCATCAAGATCGGAATGGGACGTCCCGAGGCGAGCGAACTGTCCCGAGGAGGAGCGGCCTGTGGAACAGCCGGTGAACGGTGAGTAGATGTGATTTATCATATTTGCGTGACAATTCGTGCTCATTCGACGCTTATACAGCATCGCGATGTCCCGAATTACGTTCGAACAAATCGGCGCCGCATCATAATTCGATGCGATGCCGTGCAATTCAAATAAAGTCGATCGCGTGAAGATGGTTAGGCTAGAAGCGATTTCAAATTTATTTTATATACGCGCAGTGCTGCACAGCCTATCTTGTAGGGCTGCCAACTGTTAAGGTGCAATTTCATTGACGCTAAAAAGTAGCGTCAATGAAAAGGCCGCTTTACACACTAAAAAAGTTGAAACTGTTTGAACTTTATTTTATTGACGCCAAATCTAGAGAAAGAGTAGTGATTTTAATTTGCCGCTGGTTTCTAGCGTCAATGAAATTGCACCTTTAGGATCTTTTTCCTTTCTTTTGCATCTGCATCAATGTTGACAGAGAGGAAGGACAGATGTCATGACATGGTCCGTTTTTAGATGATCCCTGAAATGCCTTCTGTGGATATTAAAAACGTGGACATGACCTACAAAGCCAATGTTCACAAATGTTCTCAGAGGGTAACATATAATATACACAATTTCTGGTTCTGTTCTGTGTTATGTGCATGAAATGCCGATAACACAAGTGCTGTAACGCAAGACGCTTATGTATATTAAATAAATTTTCAATATAAATGAATTTTGTATGGTTTTCTCTCTCTCTCTCTCTCTACATATATATATATATTTAGAAAAGGAATTTGGCGGAATTTCTCACATTACTTTTCTGTGTATCATTGCGCAAATAGTAACAGAATCAAGCACTTTTTTCTTGTATATTCTTCGCTATTTCCTGTAACTGCACTCATTCGTGTAAACACAATTAATTATGATTAGTTAAATATGTAGAACATTTTGCATGATATTTTCGATCTAATCATTTCGGAATAATCACATGAAATTCGCACTTTATTATATCCATAAGAGAACAATATGACATACGAAATTAAAATCACGTTATGCGGCCAATTGCTATGCTTATTGTTAATATAAATAGTATATGCATAAAATCATAAGATTGAAAAATTAAAGCAATGAAAAGTCGTGATATAGCTATTGTTTAATTAATAATTAATTTGTTCTCATTTTAAGAAAATTTAAAATATAAAATACCGAAAATTTAAAATATCGAATGAAGTATTTTTGACTCCAACAAGTATATAAGGATAGACCGATTGGTTAAAAAATTGTAATAAAATTTATGTTTTTGTTCCCTTTATTTTAATTTTTACTCATATTGTTTTAAATTTTTATTTATATTACATTGTACGTCAAAAAATTTTACTGACAATGAAATAGATATTTATTTCGAAAACTGAGCAGTATCTCTCATAAATGTTAAAAATGTGACACTATACTTTCAATTGAATGATCATAAATTTACTAAAAAATTAATTAATTTTAATTAAAATAATTACTTTAAATGATTTTGTTTACATTAGTATAATAACATCAAAGATCGATTTTTACTTCAAGAATATTAAAAAATAATAATATAAAGGGATTTAAACTTCAAGAATTTAAAAAATAATAATATCATAATATATCATAAAAAATACATATTACACACACACACACACACACACTCATACATATAACAGAATGTGTAAATATATTTACTTTTTTCGAAAAAAAGAAAATATTGAAATATTTATACAAAATGTAAACGTAAATACACAATAGTAATAGAAACTCATTGCATATTTCTTTAATAAATTACAAATTGAAATAAAAATTAAGTTACATTATCTAAAAATTAAATATCATGTAGTCATTACAATTATTATTAGAAATAATATTACTTAGCAGCACTTTTTAAGCTTTATAAAGTATGTTACACATTATATATTTAGCTAATTATAAACTCAAAAATTATAGTTTTAATCAGTTCAATTTTTTCTATGATATTGCTTCTAATAATAAATGTAATGTTGATTACATTTTAGTAAAGGTTGGGCAAGTCTGAAATAAATCATAAGTATTTCAACAATATAATCATTTAATATATATATATATATATATATATATATATATATATATATATATATATAAATGATTCATCCAAACCTCCAAACCTTACTTTCAACAATGCATATCAAAAAATTGTAATTTATAAGTTATTATATAACACAAACATATATAAAATATTTTTAAAACCCATTTTAAATAATATGTAATATAACAAAATATTATAACAGAATTATATTTATATAATTTAATTCATTTTTTGCGCGTATAATGTAAAGAACATTTAAAAAGCTAGAATGTATACATACATACAAAATGCATATTAAAACATGTAAATATACATGAAAATATATACGAAATATTAAGTAGATGAAATTCTGTCTCGAAGTTCGTTGCAAAATCATCTAAAGCAGATTTAATTGCTTACAATTTCTTTAAACTATTAAGATATATTATTTTGTTTTATATTTGTTTCGAAAGAATATTTAACAGAGATATGTGGAGGAAATGAATAGTAATATAGTTTTATCTAACCTTATCTTGCATATATTTAAAAAGTGATGTTTTTTAGAGTATGTATTGTCATCTTACATAATGTCTATTGATAAGAGATGATAATACTATTTTATCTTTCAAATTATAAAACGATATTGACTGCTACAACAGGATATTTCAAACTGTTTATATATACTGGCTATTAAAATTGCAACATTATAGTGCACTTTGAATGGCAGCAGTATATATAATGATAATGAACACAGTTCCAAATTTATTTCCTTTATGGAAACTGATTCCTAAGTATTCATCTCTTCAATATCACATTGGCTTCATAAAATATCATTCACACAAAATTTCATACAGCCATGTATATCAAATTTACAATTATTATCGGCTTATATAGATTATCAATTGCGCACTGTATATAAACATTCATATTTCTTTCATTTTACTCTTTCTTTTTAATCTTTTCTTTACTTTTTACACCTACGTTCCAGTAGTGAAGAAGTTGTGCCACTATAACACCATTTGCCAGTGTAGAACACATATACATTGTTATCATAGCTGCATCGCCTGTTTCTTGGATGGAAGTAAAAATTCTCACGAAAGAACCGAAGAAGAGCATAAAACATGTTGCCGCCGATAATTGGCCGGTATGTCCATTGGAATAATTTGTATAGGCTTGTGAAAACTATAATCATGTAAAATCATTGATTAATAATTTATAAAATTTGATACATGTATGAGTGACAAAAAAAATGAGATATTCTCTCTTCCAAGATTTAATTTTGATAATTAAACTGTATACCTTACTAATAAGAACAATTGGTATATTCATTGCTTGGCATGCCCAGAGAATATGAATAGGCGTTAATCCACTATTAGCTGTAAAAAGTACTGCTAAATAAGCAGATAGAAATGCAGTCGCTTTTGCTGTATCTCCATTATAATGCATTACTAAGACTGCAATAATCAAAGTCTGAATTCCCAGAAATACTGCATCTCCCCAGGCACTAAAATTACAATATTATACAATGTTGAATAAAAAATAAAGGTTTTAAGCAGAAGAAAAATTTTTTTTATACATTGTTGTTAATGAATTACTTATTCACCTAAATGGAAATCCTCTCATAAAACTATAAGACAACATTGCAGTAATGGCAAATAAATCTAATAATACACTGAAGACATTAATTCCTTCACCGCTCTTGTTTTTTAGAATTTTTACAATTTGAGGTACCTTTACTAAAAAAGAAAAAAAAGCAAGATAATATGATACATTTAACATACAGATAAGACACATGTATATATAAAATAGCAAAACAGAATCAAGAAATATATATTATATAAACTATAAATAGAGATAAATTTTTAAACTAATATAAATCATAATAAAATTATTTGTTGAAGCGATTATATGGAATCATGATTATTGAATAAAATATTATGCATATATTTTCATAAAGCAATGAAATATTTTTATCTCTCGCTAATAATGATTGTACTAACCAAGCAAAGAACCTCCAATGATGGTCACTCCTAAAAGTTTGCTTAACGTCGCCTTGAAGCATGCGACTGAAACATTTTCAAAATAATCATATTTTATTTGCATACAAGTTTGCTTATTTATAAAGACTAATACAAATTTAATATAATGAAAATAGTCAAGCACCAGTAAAGTGTTATATTTCAATAAATATGGTATTTCTTTATAAGTATAGAGTTGTAAAAAAGTAGAACATGTAAAGATGATTTGATTTTGAAGAATAATAACATTAATTAATCAATCGCAAAGACAAGAGAAAACTTATTTAATAAATTATAAATAAATTATTTATATCTCTCAATTTTAAATTGAGGATGTTTATTTGTAAAACACAACTGAAAAAAGGTTACTTTCACATATGATGAAAAGCTGAAATAAAGTTGCAGTTAATGTTATTGGAATGAGAGAACGTACCGTGAAAAAAATTGAATTTGTCCAAGTATTCCCTCGTACATTCTTGAGTAAATAACAATAATGCTGCTTTTTTAATAAATTGAGCCATATCGTCTGATATATACTACTTGATATTATTTTGCATGGGCATCACACATAGAATGACGAGGAATAATCACGAGTGACTTGGAACTGTTGGCAAAGCGCTTGTCAATCCATTTATTAAATGATTGCTGATTGTACATTTAGATTATTTTTTGCCAACTCACATCGACACATGAAACTTGTTTAGTGGAGGGGCCCCAGCGCACTTAAGAAGTCAAGGACATTTTCTGTCTAAACTGTGCAGGTTCGTAACTACGCATGATCTGATACTTTATTTCATTTCTTTGCGAAAGCATTCTTAGATGCAGTATACAAATTTTTTTTTATAATTAAAGAAAAATTTATAATAATAATAAAACCGACAAATAAAATAAAAATGAGACATGTGAAAAGGGAAAATTAGAAATGGTGAAGATATCATTCACGTGGCCCGTAAAACATATGTGACAGGCCTTGAAAGGTTGAAAGGTTACGAAAGGGAGAGAGAGTCTAAGTTGAGACAGAATATATCCACCTCTCTGTTGAAACAAATTATATATAATTGGTATATATGCAAGACCCCTCCAATATTATATTTTCTTTATCCTGATTGGTCAATTAATTTACCCCACCAGGAGTAGGATTTCTGAACGCATCCTAGCGGTATTTAGAAACTATTATAATATGGCGCGAAACTTTGAACTTTGAACGATGCCCTTGGCTGGTACAAAAGACATATCCCCAAAATACTTGAAAGCACATTAACACATTAAAGACATAATTCTACTTCTTTTTAAGACTAAATCTAAAAGCTGCTGACGTAATACTATCTTTTTTCTTAATAATAAAAAGTGCTAATGTGCTAAAAATTCAAAATTAATATATAAAAATATTATTCTTAATGATAAAAATACAAAAGATACATTTTATTTTAAGAAAAGCAGACAGAAATAATAAATAAGAAATAAATATACGTTACATTATTGCTCAAGAAAATATTACATTATTAATTTTCAAATAGATTCTAATAACAAAACATTCTTGATATATTGTTCTGTTTAAAATAATTGTGTAAAATATTATTATAATATAAGAAGCAATACTACAAAAAATTGCAATATAAAAAATCATTATTACAAAGAATCATTATTCATCTTTAAAAAATAAGTGAATATTATATATTATAATAATAAAAATTTTTAAGGATTTAATGCCATAGGTGAGAAACATTTTTGTTATTGTTAAAGATCGCGTGCCCTCGATCCAAATAACAGTTGCAAGCCAAATAAAAAAGCAAACAAACTTGTTGATAGTTTTAACGACATAGTTGAGAACGACATAGAATGAGAAAAAGACTAAGTAATTGTTGAATATAAAATTAAGTAAGATTTATAGAGAGATTTATATAGATTAACATGTGTAGAAAGTTTCCAAATAATAAATTTATTCTTTTTGCATCAAATAATATTATTATATTTTATGAAAGAGAATTATATGTTTTTCACAGTAATTTATTCATATATGTTTGTTCTCTATGTGTCATTACACGTTTCTTGCGATCTTCACTTTTCCAATCGTCTATCAATGGCAGCAATATGTCAGTCATTCAAATCGTTCGTCCAACAAATTCTCGGTGTTTCGTGTTCTATTAATATTTTCTTGAGTCTCTCAAAATCTCAGAGTATATCGTTGAAGACCTCGCCGCGCGTGCCTCCTATCTTGCACGCGATCAGTGCCAAATTTGGAAATGAATTCGGTCGGTTTCCGAAAATAGACATTATCAGACGACGAGGATCAAACCCCCTGTTGTAATTAACGAAAATATCAAACCGAATGAGCGAGCGATTCATCAGGCCGCCACCTGCCGCGATTTCTCCACGCAACCGGAGATGCAACCGTGTAAGTGGGTCAAAATACACGCAAAGCCGAAGAAAGAGGAGCAGGGTCCGATTAACCGTGCGATTGCTTTGACTTTCTTGCCTATATTCCGATCGGGGGGGTTGCGCGAGAATTGGGCCGCGGGGGTGTACCTGGTACGCTGCTCGTAAGCTCCCGTTCAACCATCACTTGCACAACTAACGTGTGCAGGAACGTTTCATCCACTTTTATTGCCCAGGTTAACGCAATCATTTAGTCTAGTACTTGTTCGTCATATATACGTCACTTCCAACAATTAGAAAATACTTGAAAGCGTGTCTTATACAAGTGCCTTTAATACTTGAAGGACTTTTGTCGAAATTTTTCTTCAAATAATGATTAATTCTTTTAATTTTATATAACTATTATTTGACACACAATTAAAACAATTGACACATAAATTTTAATCTTAAAAATTTTGTTTACCGTCCGACAAAGATACATAGAGTTTCTTGTGACTCAAACTTTTCTTGATTGATCTAAGATGATTGATTTTTTTAATAGTTTTGAGCAAGAAAGGGATTTCATCAGATAATTTTTGGCATGGTAAGATATCAGCGCGATCCAATTACTTTTAACAAGGGCGCCTTAAAACATCCCTGCGGCGCGCGCCTGCGAAATATCAGATTCTACCATCTGACTCGCGTGTCCTCGTAGTCATCGTTCAGTCTTGCCTTTACTTCCATCCGTATATCATCTTTGCTCAGTTTCCTTCATCGTGCGGCAACGCTCTATTTACTTTTCCTTTTGAAAGTAACAATCTTTAATTAGTCTCGCGCGAATACTTTTTGATATCTGCAAGAGATGTATTTATTATTGGACAAGTATCGGGAATTCAACAGGTATCAAAAGTGTCGCAGTGGGTTTTGCTACAATCTGTTTGCATTGAAAATTAAGCATTGAAAATTAAGCACGTTCTTTTCGTATTTGCAAGTTTTGCTTTTGAGATTTTTATAATTTATTTATAATGGAATGGATTTATATAGAATATTTTAAAGATATATCTTTAATAATATAGATTTTGTTATCCTTGAATCAATCTAAGTTGTAAATATAAATATATTTATGCAATAACAGTTTCAGACTAAAATAACGACGCTTTCTTTACACACCTTTTATTGATATCTGCCGTGCGATGAAGAATTCATGAAAATCAGTGATACGCATTTGCGCGGGAAAGTTTTGCGGTTCTCCGCTACATGAATGCCAATGATGGGTCCTCTTCAAACCTGGAAAGTTCAAATGAGAACAAAAAGAATACGAAAGAAAGTACTGAGGACGAAAATGAAAATCCCGGAGAGAAAGTAGTGATAAATACGGATGGAACAAATTGTGATATTAAAATTCTGGAAGGTTGAAAACATTTAATAAAATTATGTTTAACGTAAATAATTAAAAATATCAAATAAATGTACATTTTAAATTTTCTTTATAGAAGAGCCAGAGTGTTCAGAAAATAAAATTGAATCATCTTTAGAACTGCCTTTGGAACCAACCCTTCACGAACGATTTTTGCGTATTAAACAAATCGTGAAGGACGCTATAACTGCCCATCATACTTTTATGATTTATGGCAAGTCACGGGTCATTCGCGATTGCATGCTGAAAAGAGGCTGGTGCGAGAAATTTTATCGTAGAAACAGCGGCGGTAATAAATCACTCGGCAACCTCACAACTTCTAATAGACTTTTTTACTTTAATGAAAAAACTGAACATTTGTACTTTATAATTTATAACTTACATTTTTCAAAAATGATAATTATTGCAGTTGATCAGCATTTTAGCGTCGAATCCAGCCCGGTAGTTTTATTAGCTGGGATCGGTGATTTGAAGGATCACCCAAATGAATATTTATTGATATCAAGAATGCTTACTAATCATACTGTTGACTTCCTCTGGAACACAGGGTCCGATTGGCCCGGCTGGCCCGGGCAAGATAACAAAACTACTGTGTTCAATCGATATTGTCGAGCTGGTTTTACGTCCAAGGTATCATTAGCTCATCATAATTGCTGTACTATTTTTAAAATTCTATTTATAGTCATCATAATCTAAAATTTACAATTCAAAATATAATGCGGAATGATCACTTTTCTAATTTTAGTGTAAAAAATTAGTTGCATAAGTTTTGTGAAAAATTAGTACGCTTAATTCAGATGTTTGAAAAATGTTTGTAAAGTATAGAAGTGTTTAGATAGAGGATGTAGCACGCGTTTGTCGAGAGTAGACAGTTTCGACGAGCGTGCCGACAAATCGTTAGGGAAAAGGTGCATGTACTTCTTCGAAAATCAATTATTCAGGTGGGCTTGTGTTCAAGCGTCAGACAAATGCATTGGTATTACGAAGCTGGAGTGGCCAACACTTTATTTCCACGTTGCTACAACATATGTCAGAACGATCAGATGCACGCCTTTGTCGAGGATTTCCGGTGAGTTGGTCGACTGTCTACTAGATGTATAATTATTCAATTAATACATTGATTAATAATAAAGATTTATAAATTATATTTTATTAGACTTACAGGTTGCTTGAGTCTCTTGAAATGGCTAGTGGATAAAGTCAACATCGAGGACGAAGAAGTTGTACGTTCACCAACTGGTACAATACCTCTCAAGGCTCTCGATTTTGCAATTAAAAGATGTAATGATTATATCAGTGCCCAATCACATGAAGATATCGATCAAGAGGCTGAAAGAGTCTGGTCTCATCAATGGGATCAATTTATTAGCTGGTATTACCAAATTATTCATGGTCAAGCTCTCTTCATTCGCACCAATGTACCTTTTAATGTGAGATATCTGCCGACAAGTAACAATTTTTTTAATTTTTCGTTCACTTTATTTATTATCATGCTATTTATCATTCAAGAAATTATATTATATTTGCAGAAATATGTTCTAGCTTCAAAGCACATATTAAAAAAGATGAGAAAGTATTGGCCGCAGATAGATATGGATGGCATAATGAACATGTGGATCCTGAAACCTGGAAACAAAAGCCGAGGACGCGGTATCGTTCTAATAAACAAATTGGAGGACGTAATGGCGAAAGTAAATCAAACAGGCAAACCAGACACACGATACGTTGTGCAAAAGTACATCGGTAATAAAATTGTCGGATTAATAATTGGAAAGAATAGATTACTCTCAGGCTATTTGTTTTTATAATTTGATTATTTCTCTAATAGAACGACCGTTATTAATTCACAATACAAAGTTCGACATAAGACAATGGTTCATCGTGACATGCGCTCAACCTTTAACTCTCTGGATGTACAGGTACATGATACAAATATACCAAGGATTTTTAGATAAGTCACGACATTTGGTAACATCTGGCTCACGCCAGAACAATTAGCGGCTCGATTGTAAGAAATAAATGATAGAGCTCCGGAACTAGGGTAATAATCAATTTATGCCTCGCTGGCATTAAAGCGACCCTGTTTCCTTGATAGTTAAGTTTGTAGATATAAATATCCGCAGACAATGTACATACAGAATGCATTATCCGCTATTCTCTATTTAATTGCCGCTAGCGCAAGGTTCGCCATTTTATTACAGGGAGAGTTATCTCCGTTTTTGCTCGCAAAAGTTCAATCTGGATGACTTTCACGAGTCGATCCACCTGTGCAATCACGCGATTCAATGCAAATACAATAACTGCGGCGACAGGGACCCCGCTCTACCCGCGGATAATATGTGGGACGCCACGACATTCAAAGAGTTTCTCAAGTACGATTTATATCATATGAAGAATTACGCCCTTCTAAAATTCCTTTAAAACTTTTTAAATGTTCTCTATATTTGTCTCCGATAAAGAATATGCAAGAAGAATTTCTGAACATATAAGATTGAAATAATAATTCTTACGATTTTCATAAAAATTCTTCAGATCTCAAGGTCACGATAACGTATGGGATGAGCTAATCTATCCTGGAATGAAGCAAGGTCTGGTGGGCTCGTTATTGGCTAGTCAAGAGGCTATGGATCGACGGAAAAATAGTTTCGAATTATATGGTGCTGATTTTATGATCATGGAAGACTTTTCTGTATGGCTGATCGAGATCAACAGTCATCCGGACATGAGTTATTCCACTAGTGTCACTACGCGATTATGTCGACAGGTGATGGAAGATACCATTAAAGGTGAACGATAATTTGATTAAAAAAATTGTTTTTCTTTTCTAAACTATTATACAAATGATCATAGTAAAAAATCATATTTGTTCGGTAGTCGTGATAGATTTTCGAGAAGATAAAACTACAGATACCGGAGGTTTTGAATTAGCATACAAACAACGAATGCCGAGCTGCCAACCCTATTTGGGAGCCGCTTTGTCGCTTCAGGGTACTCGTCTTACCACTTGCGAAAAGAAATTGAGTTTGAATCAAGATTCCAAAACCAGCTTAATCGCAAAATCTCCGATGGTGAGTTTATAAAGATAACAAATAATTTAATGTTGCAAATATTGATAGTATTTTATTTGTATTCTTAGACGAAAAAAAAATCGATAGCGCACAACAATATCGGGCCGGTAATCGTCGATCTTATCGAGGAACTAGAGATCCAGCTTGATCAAGAGTTGAATTCTTATTACAACACGGACTCGCCTAAATCGAGACTGGCACTTCCGGCGACAGCACCAACGAAGTCTTCAATTTCTGATGAGAAAGAAATTCTCACAAAGAGCACTTCGGCAAATGCAAAACCTATCAATAAGATAAAGTCGTCAACTTTATCTAAAACTAACGTTCAGGTAATTGAAATTCAATTAAAAAGAACAACATTGAAATGAAAATAATTACTTAATGTTATGTTTCATATAGAATAATCAGATTAAACCTTCGAGAAATGGAAAATCTTCTCCGCATAAACCGGCACGAAAGTTACGTACATTCGACACTGCAAGTAGCAAATTAGATGCATCTCCGACGAGACAAACATTGATATCAAAGATTATGGCTCTTCAGGAGCAATCGGCGAACGTGATGCTTAAATCTGAAAAACCATTGAGAAAAAATGAAGAGAAGGTTCGCGTGCAAATTTCTTATCATTCCATATGTGTTTAGCAATTTTTCTTTTATTTTCCGTTCTTTTATTAGATCATCAAAACTGCGATGCAAGATGCTGTGAAAAAGTACAAAAGAAACGTAACGACTTCACCACAAGTACCGTCACTGCCGACCCTTATGCCAACAACAAAAGCCATCTCTGCGTCAACGATTAAGAATAAAATCCGCAGCTTTCCGAAAAAACGAATGCATCATAAGAAAAATAAAGTTCTAGGAGATATCACCGACATGTATGCTGTCGGTTTAAGTCTGACAAAATAATCAGAAAATCTATCAATCGCGCTTGTTATTTATTCGTTATCTATCTCTTTACTCTTTACTGTTGATCAATTCTCGAATTCTATCTACACAAGTGATATATGTATACAATCAATAAATGTTATCGATATACTACTAATAATTTACTCATACCATCATAAAAGTCTTTATTACATAAGATATCGAAAAATATCGAAACAAAACACAAGTTCTTCGAACGATGAAAATAAATTCAATGCGATTTTCAAAAATTCTTGCTCTTGCAATTTCAATTTTAATTTACATTGTTCAAAATTCTTTATAAAAATATTCTAAAATATCGTGATAAATAAAAAATTTTCCAATGTTAATCCAATTAGCAGAAGCGCGATAATTCCTCACAAATAAAAGAACAAGCTAAGAAATAGATACATGTTAAGAATTTTCGAAGAGGTTACTCAAAAAATGAATAAAAATGACGAAGTTTTATCAAAAATGCTTTCAACGGTTCCCTCAAAAAATCAATTGGAATATTCGAATGTTAAATATCCTCAATTAGATAAACGTTCAGAGTCGGATAAAGAACATCAGAAATTACCTATCGCAAACTCAAAGAATCAAACTGATGAGCTTCAGAAGCCAATCTTTCAAAATCCTGCAGTGGAGAAATACTTGAATGAATCAATGAAGAAAACATTAAAAAGATATAAAAGATAATAACAAATGCAAAGACCAGAAAAATTTAGTAGATAAATAAAATATAAGAAAAATATAAGAAAAAGCTTTGCATTAATTTGGAAATATATGTATCATGCATTTTCAAAGATATTTATTATAACCATGATAAAAAATTCACGTCATTAAACATGAATGTAGATTATCGAGTTATATGATAATCGATAAAAGTAAAACGAAAGCGGTAAAAATTGTCGCTTTCAAAGCAAATTATCAAGTCTGAAGATCATATTTTAAAAGATTATTCAAATAAAAAATACAAAACATTTTTAATTTCAGCAACATGCACTGTGACAGCAATAACAATTCGATTTGTGCAGACAATCAATCTAATAAGTGGCAAATAACTTTAACTTCAAAAAATTGCACAATCAGAAAACATCTGGAAGGTTGGCAGGTTTGCATCGAGAAATTCTATGGATTATATTTTTCTGATTTATTTTACCAACGTTATCAATTTTATAAAATCGTAGATTTATCCAAAAAGCGCAAGCAATGAAGAAAAAAATTTACAATTAGTTCTAACAGTCCCAAAATTGAACATTAATTCGCAATGTGCAGACGAGAGGATCAAAACCGTGGATGCCGAGATTTGTTGTAATCGCGAAAATTTAGAAGAAATATTAGAAGCGAAAGATAGAGAAAACGATCAGGAAAATGGGAATATAATATTGACAGACTATTTAAAATTAGTAACAGATGACGAAGCAAAGATAAATTTTTTACTAAAAGTCTTGACAAGAACCATAATCGACCATAAATATTACGTAATCTGTGGCACGTTTCCGGCTCTGAAAAAACCATTGACAGATAGAGGCTGGCTTGAGAAAAAAGCAATTAGAAAAATAATTTCAACAATACCCGACACATATGAAGGTATTGCATTTTAAAGACTTCGTCATCATTCGAAGGAAATTAACTTGAAAGTTAACATTTTCACTTTACAGATGGCTTGGACCAAATCGAAAAATTGCTTCAAACTTCTCCTGATTTTATATGGTATACGAATAAAAAACCTAATATAAGAATGGATGACAAGACTATTGTGAATAAATTTGCTGGCAGTTATTTTACATCAAAGGTAATTCAAAAGTAATTTAATTCGAAAGTAAGCTGGATAATGTGGAATAAACAATTTTTAATTAATAAAATATTTAGATTGACATGTGTAACAATCTGGAAAATGCTTATTGGTTTTACGAAACCGGAGTGTCAGATATACAGTTTCCTCGATGCTACAATATATATCAAGTATGAATATTGCACATTTGAAAATTACACAATACTAAAAAATATTTATACAATTATTATATACATATAATTATTCCTAATAGTCGGCACAAATGGACGAGTTTATACAAGATTATTACATTACTGCGTGTTTTGGAATTTTAAAGTGGTTTTTATTACTCACCAATTTGGTAGGAGCGAAGAACACCTGGTCCCTGAATGGAACAATCCCCATAGATGCAATTTTGTTCGCTTTGAAACGCTGTATAGAATATATAAGGTTGTAAAAGTATTATTTATATTATACAAAATCATAATTTGTTTGACGAAAATCATTTTCAGTATCCAAACACACGAAGATATAGACCTTGTAATTTGCGAGGATATTCCTCTATCTGCATGGTATCAATTTCTAGATTGGTACTATCAAATAATATACGAACGTGTTTTATTGAAAGAAAGCGAAAAAATTGATATACATGTGTGTATAAATATTATATTATTTTTTCTTATAATATATATAGTATAAATCTTGGAAAGAAAAAAGCGCGATTAAAGAATTTTGGAATTTATAGGATCTTGTAACATCTGTGCGCGATGTAATGAAAACAGTGATGAAATATCGATCGCAAAGTAGGATCGACGGTATACGTAATATTTGGATTTTAAAACCGGGCGACAACAGTTTGGGACGCGGAATTGTTTTGAAGAGTTCTATAGTCGATATCCTCGCCAAAGTAAATCAGGCTGCGAAAAACAATACTGAATATGTTGTACAGAAATATATAGGTACCATCTCTCAAAAGGTCATTCAACATAATAATATAAAATACTTAATAACATATAATATAATGTACTTAACATAATAATATAAAATATTTAATAACATAATAATATAAAGTATACGATAAAGAAATGCAATGTTTAAAAAAAAAATATATAAATTACAATCATAATTTTTGTAGAGCGACCACTGCTTGTCTATAAAACAAAAATAGATATTAGACAATGGTTTCTGATAACAAGTACACAGCCTCTTGTCGTTTGGATGTTCAAGTATTTCATATTTTATGACTTTTCTGTATACTTTAAAGCTTTCAATAATTTAGATTATTTAATCAGGGATATCTTAATACGATTCGCGTCGAAAAATTTCACTCTTAGTGATTTTCACGAATCCATTCATTTGTGCAATACGACTGTGCAGCTAAAATATCGAAAGTTACCGAGATGCAATTCCGATTTACCAAAAGAACTTCATTGGAATCTTCAAGATTTCAAAAATTATCTACAGTATTTATCTTACGAGCTCTCTTACAAACTTTCTTAAAAATTAATAGATTGAATAGTTGGAGTTAAATTGCTGATTTAGATCGCGCGATCAAGAAATGGCTTGGGAAAAAATCATCAGACCAGGGATAAAGCAAAATTTGATAGGAGCACTTCTGGCGTCTCAAGATAATATGGTAAACCGTAAAAACAGTTTTCAATTGTACGGTGCTGATTTCGTAGTGGCGGATGATTTTTCGGTATGGCTGTTAGAAATAAATACAAATCCGCGATTGCATCCGCCAAGCAGCGAAGTCACAGCAAAACTCTATCCGGAAGTCATAGAAGACACGATGAAAGGTAAAAGTAATTTTAAGAATAGAAAAATGGATGAAACATAATGTAAATATATAAAGATTTATAAAAATATTACATAAAATCTCACATCTATTTTAATAATTTAGTGGTCTTAGATCGTCGTAAAAATAAAAAAGCACTATGCGGCAGATTCGAATGTATTTACAAGCAACGTAATCCGTTTTATGGAGTCAATGTCTTGGGGCAAGGTACGAGTCTTGGCATTCGTGGTAAAGGTTTATTTATGACACCGAAATTGTCGTGAAATCTCCAACTCGAACACAATTGTAACATTACTTCTCCGAAAACTTATTTCGCACAGAACTGTTTCAGTTCCAATCATAATCCGTCCAATCCTAATGCAATTTCGTATTAGCATATAAACAATGCGTTATGGATTGCTAGATAAACGTGTTCAAAAAGCACATTTGTATTCTCTTTTTTCATTGCATGACGCGCGATTAGCAGAAAGAGAGCAAGTAATTTATTAGAAACATGTTTATTTTACAAGTAACAATGCGCGGTAGGTATACAATCTTATATACTATAGATATTTTTTTTCACAGAACAATGAATATACATTATTATGATATAAGACAATTATGCCCTTGTTTATATTATTCACGTATACAATCACTTAATTTTATAATTCTTTAAATTGCTATTATTCTTTTAATTTGTCTTTTTATTATAAAATCATTTTATTATTTCTCATTTTGTAGAATAAATATATTTTATATCAGATTCTAAAAATGGATCCTAAAAGTGGATGTTTATGATCATATGATGTGTATCGTTAAATAGTTGCTTAAACATATCATATTATCGTGAAAATCATTCATTTTTAACACACGTTCGTACAATAGATAACTTGTAAAAAAATGAAAAGTATAATGACGATTATTATTCACGATATAAGAAATTACATTCAATTTAACAATATGAAATTAATTTACTATTTTTTGTGATACACATGATCTAATGTTATATGTGATTCATTTCACTGAAATAAAATATTACATTTAATATTAAGATGATAATAAAGAATTTATAATGTACAAATTATACATATATATGTAAATCATAGAACACATTTAAATAGGCTAGAATACACTTACATCAGAAGAACGCGACACTACTATTAAAAAAAATATTTTAAGATATGATATAGTTAAAATTTCTTTTCATTTTCAAGTTTTCTATTTTCATTAAAGATATTACATGTTTTTAATTATTATATATAATACTCTTACATGATAAAAAAATTGTATTGTGTTCATACTGATGTTAGCGTAATCTCGCATAATGTGAACTCCCATTTGTATCTGTGTTAAAATCTAACAAGATGAGAATTATTTAATTATGATGTATTTATCAATACATCACAATTAAATAAAATACAATCTTGCCTGATTTCAACAATCGTTTTGAATACATTAGGGTGAACTTTGGATCTTACATTACTGCACTAAACTATAATGTATTTATGTAGATACTATCTACGATTGTTCTCGCGGATCGAGTACGAAAACTGACAAGATTTTGTGTATATATCACATCAAACTGTATGAAACAACACTGACTCACGTAACCGATTTTAAAGAGAAAGATAACTTAGGCCTCGAGTTATTTTTGCCTAAGATCCTCTTTTGTTCCTCCTTAACACGCTTTTCATGCTCCTTTCTCATTTTTTGCCTTTCTTCTTCCATTAATCGCTGTTCTTCAACCATAGCCAATCTTTCTTCAGCCTGATATTGATGTTAAGTTGAATTAATATTGCATATTAATATTTTTTCTCGTAAATGCTAATAACTCACTAATTTCTTCTGAGCCTCTTCTATCTTTCTGTTGTTCTCCTCCATAATCCTCTCTAGTTCCTCACGCTTCTTCCGCTCTTCCTCCTACAATGACAATGAAATAGGTTTACACAAAGCAATGATGTTGTCGATCACCGATGTTACATCGTTCGTTTTCGAAATCATAGTGCTGCTATGTCAACAACCTAGTGTTACACATCCTAAGAACCTTTGTAAGGGTAAGTTCGGGATATAAAATTTTTAAGTCAGATTTCAAAGAGGATGGCTTGAGAAATAGAGAGTGACAGAGGACATATGTATATAAATACAGTTCCTTCTTTTGTGTAAAATACGTTCCTCTTAGATCTCAGCAAACTCGTTTTTTCTCACTGCCCAAATAAAAATACGATGATTTGGACAAATGTCGTTTAAATAGAAAAGAAAATGAATTTCTCATAACTTTATATGATTCCAGTGTGCATGCAAAGAATATACATAAAACTTTTTTTTCGTAAATTCGATACAAGTGCATGATAAGATAATAATAATGATATTATTTGTAATATTATGTCTGTAGATAAAATTATTAAAGAGATCTATAGATGATATAACTCAAAAATTAATACCCTAAAATACATGAATGATTGTTGCCATCCGCCTGACCTGACCTGTCGATGAAAATTCGTTGTATCCTATGATGATAGTATTTAGCGAATCTATAAAATGAGCCCTAATATGGTCTTTCTGGTACAAAGTGTTGAAACAAACAACAATGATAATAATATTGGTATAAAATGAATTATGAATATATAAATTGGATAATACCTGAATGAAGCTCACGCCAGCTCGTAGGGGATGCCTTCTTCATCGACAATCACTCAGCAGTGAGTAAAAAACCGGCATCTTCTGTTGGTAGTCAGTAAGGAAGATGACCTATATATCGCTAGGTCGTGCTTTGTCGCTATGGAATTCTAATTCTCTGCCCCCTTAAAGTCTCTAACTTTTCCCTTTCTAATAAATTTTCTCCCAAATTCGTAGAGATAATCAACGCAAACTCAATATGCAAAGCAATGAGGGTAAAACTTGTAATAAATTTGTAATTAAAATTGTTGTTCAATCAACAGGGAGCTGATGTTTCAAGGGTATAAAAGTAAATAATTGTGCATAGACACAAGAAATATAATAGTAACTACAATCCTAATCAATGAAATAAAATAAAGAAGGTTCAGAAAATTTTTTCAGTTTTTAATTAAATCTGCCGCGCAAATAATATGATTTTTTGTAATAATTAATGCATTTATATATATGTAATAATTGCTGAACAAGTTTAAAAATAAAAATTAAAGAATAAAATATGATAATAAATATAATGATAAGAATTATTTACATCATTGCATAATTATCTTGAATTTCAAAGGTAATAGTCATGTATTTGTTTATAGTTATATATGTATTTGTTTAGACAATGATAATTTATATTTTAATTTATATTTATTAAAAACTGTTATTAAATATATATATATATATATATATATATATATTTTTTTTTTTTCTCGCGCGCGCGCGCGTAAACTGATAAGATATAAAATAGTGATATAAGTAAATCAAGTTATATGTATAAAAAAAGATATCCCATACAACATACATTTCTAAACATATCTCTGTTTATGTTATCTAATTATATAAAAGTAATGGAATCAAAAAAGTTTGATAAAGTTTTATTTATAACTGATAGTAAGCTATTCTCTTATCTGCAATGTCTTCTGAATCCATATACATTTTATGCGGCATCAGTATAATATTATCACTACGATGATTCAACTGACAGTAACAACTGTTCAGGGAAGAATACTTTTTTTATAATTTCATATAAAAATAACTTTATTTCAGACTCAAGAATAATAAACTTTTCTTGATCAATAAATTACAAAGTTTTGGGATTGTTAACTTTTTTTAAATAGATAATAGATAATTTCTCGTTTCTATTTTTTCTTAAAGATAATATGCATAATGCATAATGCAATAAAGTGGCTATTCGCGGGCATTTTTTAAAATTAGATTGATAAGTATATAAGAAGATTGATAAGCAGACTTGCCAACATGCACAACAATTACAGAAATTGTGAATGAGGACTGTGGATCCAAACGAATCAAAACAGTCTAAGCACATTTTCTAAAATTGTTGACACAAACGTCAATCCATATATTGTGTGATGAAAAAGGTTATAATGTTGTACAAATATATAAATATATGTACATGGTAGAAATAATTTGATCATAAATAATCGATACATGCGCCTATAATAGCAGAGAATCTCTTTCATAATAATATAAAATATAATTTCTCAGTAACGCGACCTCAGTGGATGCTGAGAAATCGAAGCAGTGTGGTTTTATCGTTAAATTTCTTACAATATAGTCGCGAACCACAATACTTCAAGCCCAAACGCTGTGATCGTAAAATGTAAGATTATAATAGACCTGGTTGATAAATTCTCTCAATTGTTCAATCAAGATTTCTCAAACAGAAATAATACAATTTGTAAATTCCATAGTTTTGTCATCAAGATCAAAATATGCGAGATTTACAAATTGTATTTAGCCCGGCTTAACAACTAATAGCAAAGCTTTAATACAAATGTATCTTTTGGATTTTTTCTACTCTCATTTATCACAGATTTCAAATTCTGTAAATGTTGCAATAAATTGTGATAATCATTTAAAATTATTTTTTCACCTATAATATTAAATAATATATTTTTTGCAAAAATACATTCTATACATATTCCGATTTTTCGGAACAATTGCACTAAAAGAATGCTAGATTTTTATTTTCTGCTGATCACAACAGCGCTTGGGCTATCACTGACCAATATTTCTATCGATAGATCTTACCTCTCTTCGTTTCTCCTCCTCACGTAGTTTTGCTTGCCTCCATTCCATCTCCTCCATGATTTGACGCTCCATAGCCCTCTTTGCTTCTTCTACCCGCCTTTGTACCTCTGCTTCAATTTCTTCTTTACGTTTCTCAAGCTCCTCTTCTACCCTTTTTTGTACAAGTTCTTCAATACGTTTGGCTGCTTCCTCCTCCACCATTTTTTGTTCCACCTCACGCTGACGTCTGCAGACAGATAAGTAGCAATCTTCTTCCAGAGCACCATTCCAGAATCTTTTTTTTTTATTTTTATACAAAAGTGAAGTTAACAACATGCTAAATCTTCATTAAATATCAAGTGCCATAAATTTTGAAGTTTACCAATATAATTATTTGAATCGACAATTAAAATTTGTTGTAACTAAAAATGTTATCAAAAAATTTGGTGCTTGTGTACACATCAAGCATGTTTTTAACAAAATAGTGAGAATTGACGAATTTTAAATATGACCACCACCATGAAATAATTACACATTCTTACCCAGCTGTGCTCGTAGTGAAGATTTTGTTCATTAATTCTTTCTTTTTCCTGACAACATAATTATAAAAAATAACAAAAATTTCGGATATAAAATAATTGTAAAATAATGTTTCACTCTTGATATTGAACAAAATATAAAGGAATAAAGTTGAGAAATGATTTGTATTTCCCAACTCTAATAATATATGAGCTATCAAGAGGAACATTACCAATATAATTACTACTGTTTACCTTTGCCGTTCCATTTCAGCCAATCTTTCCACTTCATCCATCTTTCGATCTCTATCTCTGTACGAACGTTTCTTGAGACTGACAATGTGCACATCATCCGATACTTCCGAACCACTGCTGGATGATGCGGAATGGGATCGCTTTCTAAAATAACAACCAATTATAATTACAATATTATTCTTATAATGTTATGCACATACACAATCTATTAAAATAGATGTCATCCATAACAATCGCACATTAAAATCCGGACAAACGCATTTGCATGTGAAATCGAGGATTTACTCTACGCAATAATAAGATCTGGTTGCACCAACATTATTTTATCTTTAAGCGAAACTTAAATATATGTCTGTCTTTATTTATTTAGAAAGATAAAGATAGACATATACATAAGATAAAGATAAACATATATTTAAATCTCGCTTAAAGCTAAAATAATGTTGGTGCAATCGAGTCAAAGCATGTAATAATTTGTAAACATTTTTTATTGCCAAACATATACATATTAAAACGTGTTCAAGAGTGTGACAAGATGGCTGAAAAAAATACTCGATTTTAAATTTCTCGCGAAATCATTTTAGAATCAGATGGCATCTACGACACGTCAAACGCAATGCGATGCAAGGCAACGCACCTGGACTTGGAACTACGTTCCTTCGGTTTGTCTGAATATTTGTTGTTGGAGTGCTTCTCGCGCGATTTGGATCGCTTGCGAGAGTGTTTGCTCTTGTGACGCCGTCTGCTCTGCGGTGATTTCGATCTGGAACGCGACCGGCCCATCTTCTCGAGATCGATCGTTTTTTCGTTCAGTTCAGCTCGACGAAGCACAAAGAGTCACTGTTTCACGAGATTCGCTCGATATTTCACTACAACGCGATCAAATTATCACTCGGCTTCCAACTGCGTATCCGACAAAAGTAGCGAGAACACCAAGGACCTTCTACATGTTGAATTACAAGATGACGTAAGAATATAGATCGCCGACTCCCGTATTTTTGCTTTGTCGAGCGCCATCTAGTGGTACGCGCGTGAACTAATATCCAATATGGCCGACTTCTGATATACAGGCTGCGGTCGGAGAGATGCGAGCATCGCATTAACCAATCAAGATAAGGAAATTTTTACTTTTCTTGGCATGATTGGCCAATTGAAAGATGCCCTACGTGATAACCAGGTTTTCGAACGCAACGATACGTGTTTGAAGTTTAAATTTGTAGAGCAATGTTGTCACAAATGCATATGAATGTGACTGAACATATAAGTGGATTCTTGTATCGACAGGATCGACAGGATCAATGGAAGGTATTATATTTTCATTTGATATTTCATTTCGATGTTGCAAATAGAACTTTTCTTCGTCTGTAATGTTATAATTCTTTGGAAAAGTTTTGTAATAATAATCGATATTTTTTGTGTACTTTACGCTTTATGGAAATGTTTTAATTTGGTGAAATATTATTTATATTATACAGCATCTCTCAATATGATATTGATAACAACATAGAGTTTATTAAAAAAATATACAATGTCAAGTTTCTGTAAAAATTATACAAGATGTAAATAAGAATTAAAATATATTATGAAAAATTAATCAATTAATATCTTGAAATTTTTTGCAAAGCACGAGGCGCGAAAAATCAATCGTGGCAACGTCCATTAATAAAAGTTTGTATATTAACTATTTTGAAATTAAATTATATTAATTGTTTATATAAAATTTAAATATTAAATTGTATAACAGAATATAGTAAATACTCCAAAGTATAATATATCAATAAATTAACAAATTAATATTGTTTGTAAAATATATAATGTTGCGTGAATCAATCATGCCAACGGTATGTAATCGGTTGGTAACCTTTATTAAACGGTTTGAAATATTTTAAGTAACGATATTCCGACAATATGGCGGTCTGCTTGTACGACGGGATATATCATCGCCTTCGACGGGATATATCATCGCGATTTTTGACGTTTTTCTTCGACATTTATCCGACATATAAACAAAAAGTTGCACGAGAGAACGCTGTAAGTATAAGGATTTTGCGGAAAATCAATCAATTAACATATTGAAATCTTTCTCAAAGCAAAAGAACGTTAATCGAGAATCAATCGCGGGAGAGCATCATTAGCATAAACTTTCAATCAATTCTATTTATCTAATTTGATCTATTCTATTTTATTGCAGGCGAAATCATCGTTTGGAAGAGAAGAATACATATAATTATCCGGATAATTATGCGGAAATGAATCGCGTATGAAAATTTGCATAATCGAAGCGATCCGAAGTGAGGAGCGCGTCGCAGAGTGCGATCGGGAATCGCGCGCGCATGACACATATTCGGCCGGTCCGTTTCCGGCGCGTTCCGCCGGTTCGGGGAGCGCGCGCGGCAGCACCGTCGCCGGCCCGGCGTGTCACGCCAGCGCCACTCGCGCCACCAGCTGTGCCGTGTCGGTCGCGCCATTCCGGTCCGTTCCGCTGGCGATTGCCACAGAAAGCAAGATGGCGCCCGTCTGTTTGCGAATATCTCCGCGACGGATATAAATACGCGAGAGGAGAGAAAAAAAGAGAAGGAAAACAGTGCCGCGAGAAACGATTGCGGGACGAGTCGAGCGGTCGGTGACGGTCGCTCGTGATACGCGTGTCCGATCGACGTTGCCACGCGTTGCGGGAAGGTCGCGCCAAGGTAACGCGTCTGCCTCGTCCTCCGTCGTCGCGTTCCCCGTCGTCGTCGTCGTCGCGGCAAAGTCGGAGCGGCGCGCGTAACCCCCTGAAGTCGGCCGAATTCTCGGTAATTGGCCGCGGCTCCGGAGGCGGCTCCCGCGAACGGTGCCCACCTGAGGAATGCCAGATCGCTCGCGATTCCTCCCGGCGGCAGGTCGACGGATGATCGGCAGTGTGACGCGTCGTGAAAACGAGTGAGCGAGTCGTGAAAAAAAAGAAAAAGGAAAGAAAGAAGAGAAGAAAAAAAACGACCTCGCGACCACGGCGGAGTGTACTCTCGTGGGGGATCTCCTCCCGAGAAGGTGATCGCGGTCGCTATTCTTTTCCGTGACGTATGTGTCTCGCGGAGGTCGTCTGCCAGACGGGTGGTCGGTCGTCGCGAGTGTCTTCGCCGTCATTGTCGTTTACGTTCGCGTTATCGTCGTCGACGATACTGCGTCGCGAGTGCCGTTGGCGATCTCGATGCGCTGTCGCTCTTCCTTGGAGGACCAACAACCCCTCTGGACGTCCGACGAGATCAGCTGCTACTGCTGCTGTTATTGCTGCTGGGACTACTAGCCCGGCGGCCTCCTGCGTGGATATCCTTCTGTTGGAGCGGTGGGGCAGGGAGGCGCCGGAAGCAGCCGCGAATCCGGAAGCATAGCGAAGAAGATGGCCTTCAACGAGGTGAGTAGCCTGGCCTGGCCTGTGTTTTCGATCATGTTTTGCCTGTTCCGTCCGCACGTCATCGCATCGCGTCGCGTCGAGTCGAGTCGCATCGCGATCGGGTCGTTTCGATCCCGCGAGGTTGACCCCGCGACCCCCAAACGCCATTCCTAACCTAACCTAACCTCCGTTCCTGCGCACAGCTGGCACGCTATCAACTCCCGCTTTACTCTTCCCGGCGCCTCGTCCTTCGCTCTCCCACGTCTCCCCCGTAAAGATGCTTAGCGTTTAACAAGGATCGGTCTTGCATAGATTCTTGGCGATTGTCGTTTTGTAAATTAGCTTTAAATGAATCCGAAATGGGAGAGGAAGCGGGGAAGAGGATGTTAAAAATCCTGCCATTTTTACTCCACGACGATGTCGAATTCGAGAGCCAAGTCAGAGAGTGAGATCGCGCGATGTTTGTTTAATAATAATAATAATAATCAAGTTTGCGTAAAACAGTAGCGCTAATTGGAGTTGATAGCGACGTGTTTACGTACCATAATTATGTGCGGCCGGTATCTCTTTCATGCGCGCAATTTAGATCTTTAATCAGACGTTGCAGTAGTTATAAGCTATTTGTAAAAGGAAATTAGCTGCTGAAAGTGTCTGTCGTCTTCCATTCGCGACCTTATTCAACCGTGCATTAGATTCCGATTGTATATACTTAACCTTCGGCGTGTTGTAATAATAATGTGTCGAAACAACAAACGTTGAATAAAATATGCACGCGTAAAATCCAAGCGAGGAATCAGTAAATTCTGACAACGAGCTGGTAAATGCGCGTCTAATTGTCTCGCGTCCTTGAGGCGACGCGATAAATGTCGTTATAATACACAAGGTTTTATCTGCCACATAATAATTCTATCACTTCGACAGTAGTTTCGTGTCGCTCGACAGTGATTGGTCTGTCATTATCGCGATGTTACGTAATTTTAGGAATTTGTAATCTGCCTTGCATCGCCCTGTTTTTCACGGCTTCGAATCGTAACAATAACATTGACGAGTTCGTTGCTATCGATTTTGATAAAAAAAATAGTTGGCCTTGTTGCCTCGCTGACTCTCGATAGCGATAGAGTTACACGTTTATGTCTCTCGTTTCGATCGATTTGAAAATTATTCGCTTCAATTTGGTCTCTTGGAATTTTTATTCTACTTGTGTTCTTTTTTTAATTATTACGCTCGATTTAATAATCTCGGTCGCGTGTTTCATTTCCTATTTCGACTGCATCCGAGTTTCCGCGCGCAACGCAAGATAACATCGACCCTTTCATGTGGACCATGGGAAGCTTCCCATCATTTGTTGGTGCGTGTATAATGCTCGGTTATGTAGAATCACTTTTTATTATATATTTGCTAATATATTTCAGTCTATGCTATAATTATTACTAAGTATTACCGATTATTATACTAGGGTTTTGCACATTGTTTAAAATACTTGACGGAAACTTACATAGAGAAAAATGTATATTGTGTTCAAGTAAATATTATTTATTTTAAGTATATATCATAAGTCATCACAAGGATTAAATTTAATTAAATATATTCTGAATTTTAAGTGCAGTATTTTAATCAAAATTAATTTTAATCAAAATATTAAATTAAAACAAAAATTTGGTTACTACATAGAATTGGCGTAAAGTAAGTTTGATTTTTCTTTGATACAACTTTACAATATTTTTGAAGAGAAAATAAATTCTTCTTTTGAGCACATGAGATTTTCATTTGTGATGAGTATATTTTAAGACTATTATCAAGAATTCTTTGTTAAAGAAAACTATTACTTAAAAAAAGAAAAATAAACTAAGTAATCTCTTATCTTGGCAATAAAATGATATTTTTCTCTGTGTATAATCAGAATGGAATCCGTAACAGGATATATACTCCTGGACAAAATTAACGCATAATTTTTTTTCACTTTTTCTTTAAAAGCTGATATTTAAATTTTAACGAAAAATTTTAAGGAAAAAGTGAAAAAAAAATTATACGTTAATTTCATCCAGGAGTATATATATATATATATATATATATATATATGTATATGTAATCGAAATATAATTTACCTCACTCTGTCTCTGTTCATCGAACTTTATCATCGCGCATGACGCATGCAATTGTGCAGTAGCTCTCGGTTTTATCGCTCTCGTCTATTTTTTCGCTGGGTCGAGTCGTATTAAATAAAAATGAAAAAAAATATACCGGCGCGTAATTAATATACCGCGATCGGATTTCGCCGATAGCCTGCTATAACGTTACATACGGTTCATAAAACTCTCGACTGGTGATAATCGCATGGAACGTGACTTCTATTCTCACGTAGCTCTTGATACTTTCAATGGAATGCGCGACGTGAACTTCTCACCTTCCGCGCGCGCGAACGCGATTCGAGGAATGTTTGAATTTTCTTCGATGACGCAGAAATTCTTCGCTTGATTATCGTCCGCTTCTTCAACAAAGCTGCGAGTGTCACTTTTTTATCACAATTGATTGATTAAATTTTCTTCCGCGTGAAATTCTCAGACGCAAAACAACGCGATTGTCGAAGGTGAGCGGATTAAAATTTCGGATTCTTAATCTTAAGTATCTCGTGACTACCTCGACGGATCTATATCGAAAAGCACTTTATACAAGCCGTGTTCTTCGTCATCGTTATCTTATCTGTCACGCTTCGTGATTTCGCAAGAGGGGTTTGTGATCTGTCCATCAGGACTCTCGGAGAAGGAAAAAAATCGCCAACAAAGCTACGTACGTGACCCGTATGATTGATATCGATCGAGATGTCATATAGCATAGGGATTCCGCTCCTTCGACGTCTCTTACGCGTCATCCACGTAGGGCTTCGTTCTCGTTCTGAATTCTCCCTCCCATTCCTACAACGTGTCTATTCTCATCGAATGGACTCGTCGAGAATTAGAACCAAAGTTTTCCCTTCGACCTTTCCGGGTGACCTGGTTGAACTGCATGTTGTAGCTGTTTGTCCCTGCTACTGTATGAGTTACACATATAATGTGTGCTCTGAATCGTAAAACTTGGCAGCGAATTAAGAATTCTGAGCGTACTTGTTATTAGCGTTGTTGTCGAAATGGCTGTTTTGAAATTTGCTCAAACTTTACAGCCTGCCATATCTCATGGATAGTAATAAAACACTTTATATATGCTGCAGAAGTGATGCTGCGAGGATCGCGCACTTTCTTTATAGAGCATATATTTAATTTTTTTTTATTTTTATACTACTTAAATTTTATGGAAAATATTTTTTCGTACTTCAATATAATAATGTCTCTCGCACAGTTTTAAATGTTAAACAGGTTTATCGCTTAAAAGGGTTTCTCGTGTGTAGGGACTCACAAATATCGGTTCTATTCTTCTTATCAGCTTGTACTTAAAGTAGCTCCGGTTAACACACACGCGACTACTTCTTATCGCCACATTATTCTCCATCCGGTTTTATCATATATCGAGACGTGTGTGCATGTGAATTGTACATGTTAGGTATGTACCGTTATTATGTGGGCCAACGAAATTTTGACGATGGTGTTTTTTCGAGTTTCTTTTTCAGGTCACTACGTGCCCCTCATTCGTATAAACAAGTTCAATGATGCAAACATTGTTGTGACACTTTTTTCATTAAGTGAATCATTTTGAATAATTTATTTCGCGATTTGTTTAATTATTTGTATTTTTCTTTTATATTATATAAGTAATTCTTATTTGCGTCTAGAAATTTTTTCTTGCGAATCTAACTGTCGCGTGTAAAATCAGATACAATATAAAATAAAATAAAGCATAAGATATAATATAATATAAAAGATACAACTTAATATATACAGCAAGACAATAATACAAGAAAGACAATAATACAAGAAAGAATATTTTCTACGTACGACATAAAATTCTTCAAGTTTTACATATTTACTTCGATATTTGAAATGAAATAATTTTCTGTACTAAAATCTAGATTGTGTTCCAAATTAGCTTATCGTTAACTATTTTTTTATTATAAAATTGGTAACACTTTATTTACTTATGTTCCGTAATGAATAACTGATCAGTTGACAAAAGTAATGAAGAATTAATAAATTTTAATAATATGAATAAACGCCATAGAAAAAAAAGAGCGAGATTCGAAAATTTTATTGAAATCGTTGTGCATAGAAGCATTTTAATAAAATTTTCAATTCTGTTTCGTTTGTGATGATTATTTATATTAATATAATATATTATAATTTATATTAATAATTATTTATATTAATAAAATCTGTTAACTCTTAATCATCTCAACTTAAATTTGAAGATATAATATAGAATATAGATGATCCGATCAGCTGATTCACTAGGAGGGATGCAGGCAAAACGTAACTTTATAGAAAAATAGTAGAAGCTAATTTAAAAAACACGACCCTTAACGAAAATCAAAAGGAGAATATTAATCTGCACGAATGCATATCGCATATGACTAAATCATCTTAAGGAGAAATCGCGTGACAGAGCGATCGCGGCTGCGTTAACGTTACGTAAGATCCGCGCACGTTACATGGCATTTAATGGCTCGCATTTCCTTGGACGCGCGCATACGATGCAGGCCGGATGCGACGGGGGACACGTTCTAGATGCGTCGACGTACGACCGAGACCGTGGGCGAGCAGATAGCTCGGAATCGAACTATGGAAATTGACAAAGGCGGGCACATCCGTGATTAAACTCGACGCTCGCGCGCGGACAATGCACCCCATTGTACTCTGTTTCCAGGTGCGTAGCCTCCGCTTCCTGGTTTAAATTAAAATTTGCCATTTGCCATTTTCCTCTATCGCCGCGCATCTATATCGTGCATCGATTTATTTTTTTACGTATATTTTTGGGATACGGCGTATTGCGTATGTCTCGCAAATTACGCATCCGCAAATTTTTGAATATCCGCAAATGTGCGAAATGCGTGTATCGATTTTATCAGGGTGTCTATTCCTTGAAAAACATGAAAA